CACTCTACGTTGATATCTTTCTCAGTTTTCTATTAAACCAGTGATTGCGGTGTTTTAATACTACACAAGCAAGAATTAACTTGCTTGCAATTGCAATCACAACTTCAGCTTTTCTTCGGTACTTCTCAACAATGAACGTATAAAAATTCTGAGACTAAGTTTAGATATATACGTAGATATATCCAGTGGTTGTGTTCATTAAGAACTCTTTTTAAATTTCAAATAAATTAAATATTAACTCTTCTACCTCATTTTAAATACAATCGCTTCCTTCTACCTCATTTTAAATACAATCGCTTATCAAAATAATAATTAAAGATAATATATATATATATATATAGATAGAAAATACTTATTTATGGGGTTTTACACTGGCCGACAATTTAAAAAAAAAAAAAAATTAGGGTGAGGGAGGCTAAGATGGCATAAAGCAAAGTTTACAAGCCGAAACAAGATCGAATGGAGTTTAAGCCTACCAAAACTTGGACATCCTTAGCAAAGCAACAACCGAAAGGCATTTATGGTATAGTTTTCCTAAGATTCAACATATATAGTTTATGGGCATGGTAAATCATAACTCACTTAATCAAGCACAAGAGTAGATGGATGATGCACATACATTAACACTGATATTGGAATTTGAGGAAGTTCTTGTAACTTAGGGCATCGGCAAGACCATTTTTTAAGCACAAATAGATGGAACAGCCACCAAATTCTAGCAAGACAACTAGCTTTCAAATGGTTTACTCGATCTTAGATTATATAACCTATTATTCAAAATTCCCCAGTTGATCCCAATACGCACCTTTCCAAGCACCTTCATCTTAGACCATTCTTAGAACTTTATCCTTACTCTAAAGATTTCTAGTCTCCCTATTCTGGAGCTCTTCCTCTATCCTCTGCCACTCATTCTTTGGTTAGTTGTCCAACATAGTACCTTGCCTTACCAAAAATCATCATCATTTTTACACATTCCAAACGTATGTTATTTTTGTCTCTTCTCAAATGGATCTCACTCCCATTAATTAATTCTTCAAATGTTCCTTAATTACATCGGCCATTTTGTCATTCATTCGAACACAATTTGGGTTCTATATATATATGTCTGTCGGACTGGGATAGCCTAATAGATTGGTGTTTTTACTACTGGAAATCAAAAGGTTTCTACAATTTAATCAACATGCAAGTAGTTCTCTTTAACAGTTTATCACATTTAAGGGGATCCCGGAGCGCGATGCTAGAATCTTCAAAGGCATGTCCTCCCAGTTGTTGTCAATAGAATTGTTGACCCGATCAGAGATAAACTTCTACCTTCAAGCATTAGCTATTCATGCGATGCTAGACGTGTTATACATCCATGTAGGATATGCCTTCCTGATCATTTCTCAAACCAATACGTCGGCATCCTGATAACTAAAAAAAGGGTTCTTAAAGGCTATTGAACCTTCCCCGGCTTCACTAGTTTCATCAGAGAGTTGTGACCTCATAATAGTCTTTTTGTATTTCCTAATTTAGATGGACCCCTTTCGTTCTAATTTTGGGCTTGGCGGACGTCTTTGGTTTGTGAGCGGTCTTTATAGGCCCAAAGTCCATTCAATGGACTCTTATCATATCCACCGATACAAATTGTTTGAAGGAAAAATCATTAGATAGTATTATCCATGCACTAGAGTAGCGACGGGGCTAGCATAGGAGAACCCCGACGGGACGTGCCCTCCCAGCCCAGTCTGGCCCACTAAATTTTTTATAAATATATGTATATAATTTAGAAAATACTACTTTGTGCATTCCTGAAATTTATTTTTCTTTCTTACCCTGGCCCTTTCTTTCTATTAAGAGTTCAATGCATGTGAGAGGATAAATTATTAAATGTTCTTAGACCATTGACACTTAATAATGGAGTCGAGATGCTTAATTTGCTTAAAAAGTAAACTCACAAGTAGGGACAGAGGCAGTGAAGGACCATGCCTCCTGAATTTTCTTCCTCTCTTATATTTTATAATAATATATATATATTTTATAAAAATATGAAAAGTGTTCCCTGAATTTTCTCATTCTCATTCTTTATATATGTTTCTTATTTTTTTCTCCTAAATTGTTTCCTTAATCCTTATATTCTATATCTTTAAATTAATTTCATTTTAAAAATATCACTATCTCTTTCTATATATATATATATATATACTCATAAACATTAACTTATATGCATGTACATTATCTGGTAAATATATGTTATGATATACAATAGTATGATGTGGCCCCTGAAAAAAAATTCTGCCTCCATCCCTGCTCACAAGAGTGTATTCCTTTATTACAAAGAAATCTGAATATTAGTTTAGTTGTTTTGATTGAACTTATGATTGAACTTTGGAGCAAAAAAATAAATAAATGATAATAATATCTATAAACTAATGTACACAACCACACACAAACTCGCAGAGTATCCAAGTGTTCTCTGATAAAGAAAAGCAAGTATACGTACCAATCTTTATATATGGATAAATCATGAAAAGAGAAAAGTAGACAGAACGTAGTATACGTTAGGGGGTATTGGGCATTGGTCATGGTCATGCATGGAGGCATTTCCCAAAGAGAATCGAATCAATCCCTCCCTTTCTTTTTGCTTTTTCACAGTTTGCTACAGCTTTCTTTACCATTCCCCAAGAAAATGGTGGGTTATATCTTATGGTTTCTTCATTCTTATAATTCTCTCTCTAGCTATATACTTCATTTCTTGGATAGTGGTATTTATGCTGTGATGCTTGTTGTCTTTACAACTATATAGAGAGAGAAGTATGTATATATTTATATATATAGAGTGAGAGAGAGAGAGATTCAAATTAAGAATAAGAGAGGGTCATTAGGGAAAAGAAATATGCATGACAGGGAAAGAAGCCAATGCTAGTTTAGAAGAGAGAGAAAAGAAAAAGAAAAGATGGTCAAATTGGACCTCGAAGACTTCGATATGATCTCTCTTCCATCATCAGCTTCGACTATCTTTATCGAAACTCTCTTATTTTACTTTGTTTGGTTTTTGAAACCCTCCCCTATCAATTTATATGGTCAAATTTTCACTTTCTCTGATTTTTGAAACCCTTCCATAATAACTCCTCCATTATAATATGCTCACAAAAGATCTCTCCTCACTCTTTCATCAATTTCTCAATCAATCTATCAAACATAATAAAATAATTGAAACAAATAATCCAACGTTCTTAGAAGTTGTAGCCATGCAACTCTTGAGTTCTGCTTCGATTTTGGGTTCAGCTACAACCATGCATGTCACCAAATCTGACATGCACGAGTGAACCGAAAATATATGCATTATATACACGTGTGAAGTTGAGGGGTCGAATTGGAAATACAAAATGATTTTTTTTTCAATTTTTTTATTCGATTTGGTTGAAATGGGATGTAATATGTACGTACATAACCAAAAAAAAAAAAAAAATTACTCTATGCTTCAATTTTTTTTAATAAAAGAAATGAAAATTTTAATTGCCTTCAAATTAAAGCGAAGCATAGGAAATGATAGTAGTTATATTCAAGATGGATTCAGGAAATTATGTGAAGAGCAATAGTTTAATTTTTTTAATAATTTCAGTGGTGCGATAGTGTAATTTTATAAGTGTGTATATATATATATATATCAAAATGAAAAAAACTGTATGGTATGTTACTAAAAAAAAAAGATTAATATATATAATTGTCCCTGAATATATATCATTTTTAGTTTTTAAATGAATAAGTGTAGCGTAAGAGTATTTTTGTAAATTTCTTATTCCTTTTTTATTATTGTGAAAATTGTGGTCCGCTTTGACCCTTTTGACTTATTTGTACAAATTGAGTCCCCAAGTACATAAATGGAATATTCAATTATAGAAAAGCAAGCACCATTTATCCTGTTTAGTGACACTCGATCACAATGTGGGACTCAAAGTATGTTGTTATTGAAAGTGGACATGACACCTCTCCTTGGCAATGTACAGATAAGAATAAGGAGTGGGGTCATTCTCTCCCAGGATTTTCATACATGGAATATTCATTTTGTCTGGTGAGATCTAGATAGTGATTTTTGTTCCTCCTTATCTAATCATGAACCATTTTACACCATTTCGCATGCACTTGCATGGACCTTCTTTATTCAATTTAGCAACTCCCAAAATAAGGGCCCTATTTTCTATAGTCAAATGGCTTTTATATGGTTCATGCATTACAAGGCAAAGTAGATCTTTGATGAGTTTTGTCCACCTAGAGGTTACATTGTATGTGATTTTTCTTTAGGAAATGATTCTTAGGCTGTCCGAAATTTATTTATATAGTTTAAGGATTTTTATTCCTTTTATGAAGTTGATAGATTCACACAAAAACTTATCCGCTATATCTAATGGATAAAAACTCTATAGGCTGGTCTAAGTCATATACTAGACAAATAGGTCTGAATACCATTACTCCTTAAGATTATTCCTAATAAGCCTCGAATACTCAACTTTCTTTTTTTAGCAGAGATCATATCATCTCGACTAATGGCTAATGATGCAATACCAAAGTGCTACATAGGAAATTTTTCTTTATATTGTGGCCCTGTGATTGAAGAAATGAGTATATGTTGTTGAGAAGTCTAATTAAAATGAGAGCATTTGTTGTTGAGCAAAGAATTATCATGCTGTACTTGTCTAGCATATCCACTAAATGAATATACACAGATAGAGGTGAATAAAATATTTAAAGAAGAGACCTTAAATTATTTTTTTTTTTGTCGATAATTAGAACAGACCTTAATTTAGACAAGGATATAATATATAAGGGTATTTTTGGAACTTGGGTATGGAATTTATGGGCATGTGTTCATGCATGCACTTGCCACCTCTAGAAGCCTAAAAAGAAGCTGTAGCTTATCAAATTTCACAACATTTTTTTCCATCTTTAGAATCCTATCTCTGTTTCTTCCCTTTTGAGTTATTTAATTTTTTTTTATTCAAATTTTATTGTATGATTCCATTGTTCAAGGGTTGCCAAATGAATGAATAATATATAAAAAAATAAAACAAAATAAAAAGAACATCCTTAGCCCCCCCACTGGTCAGCCTTGATCCCCTCCATTCTCGAGGCGCCTATGCAAGTATATAAACCCACACTACCACACAACCAAAATCACCAATTCCTTTAACAATCTTTTGTTCTTCAACTACAACCGGTCCAACTACTACCACTTTCTTAGTTATCACAAGGTGCGGACCTCTTGTCCATATATATTTCATGTGTGTGTGTGTTTTGTGTATAAACACACATTTCAATTAATTCCTAACCCCCAAACGTCTCATATTTTGGCTCAAACCCAAACGTCTCATATGGTTATGAGATCAAAATGGTTCATCTCTGTCCATGAAAAACTACTACTCTTCTTTTTTTTTTGGTTTAAATATTAATATTCCATGCTACTTTTATTAGAATGAGGCAAGCAAATTTTTGTGTGTGTGTGTACATATATAATATTTAAGTTTTTTTTATTATTGACTTTTGCTCAGATGGTGTTAGTACTTTTAAATACAATTTTGATCACTGAAGCTTCTTCTTCTTTAGATATTAAATAACTACTGTATGATATGTGTGTGTTGCTTTGTGCGTACATAGAGTAGGCTAGATAAAAGGGTTGCATATATGTATATTATTTGATATAATTAAGTTGGACTAATATGTGTGTGTGTGTGTGTGTGTGTGATCTTTTTTTTTTTTCTAGGAAAGATGAGCAGGCCAGGAGACTGGAATTGCAGGTCATGCCAACACTTGAACTTCCAAAGGAGAGATTCATGCCAGCGATGTGGAGAGCCAAGACCTGGAGAGAGAGGTGACTATGGAAGCTTTGGTGGAAGGGGCGGCGGTAGTTCATCATTTGGATTCACAGGCCCTGATGTGAGGCCTGGTGACTGGTATTGTAATGTTGGCAACTGTGGAGCCCATAATTTCGCCAGCCGCTCCAGCTGCTTCAAGTGTGGCGCTTTTAAGGACGAATCCTCCGGCGGTGGTGGATTCGACGGTGACACTCCTCGTGGCAGAGGTTTCGGATTTGGTGGCAGTGGCGGAGGTGGTGGTGGCAGTAGCAGTCGCTCCGGATGGAAATCCGGTGACTGGATTTGCACCAGGTAAACTTTCACACATTTTCCTATGCAAACAAACAGTCCAACCCTTAGAGAGTTCCAATCCTAAGTAGTAGCCACACATGTTGCACTATAATGAATACGTGATTGTGCTACAAGTGTGAGTGATCATGCTTAGCTCTGCGCGTTACAGCACGCGACAAGAGGATCCATCCTCCAAGTTTATTCTTAGAACACACTATGACCACTCAACGTTGGTGGGGCACGATAACTGATACACCAAAGGTGCATCCTTCCTGGATTCTCTCCCATCACAAAAAGATCCTCTCATTAATGATTTGACATCCACACCAAATGTAGAATAAATGTCACACAAGGTTCTGAACTCCAGCTCACATACCATTTCAATGGGCGAATAAGTCTCCATTCCTCTTTATCTCACTCCCATACTATAGTAGCTAGCTCTCCATTCTTCTTTATTTCACTCCCATGCAGTAGCTAGATTGTATCCACGTGCTAGCTCATTTCCATACTATTAAGTCTCAAGTAAGTTTAATAAATAAATCTTGAGTTTTATAAGCGCGCCATTCTACTTTCTTTGAGCCCAAGCATATCAAAACAAAATAGCATCTGCCCACTTTCACTTTTTCCTTCGGGAATACTTGATGCATGAAGCACTTTGTATATCCTACTTAACTAATGATATATATATATATATATATATATATATATATATATATATATATATATATATACATTGAATTAAACAGGTCCGGTTGCAACGAGCACAACTTTGCAAGCAGGATGGAATGTTACAGATGCAATGCACCGAGGGACTCTGGTAGCAAGTCTTCATATTGATCTTTGATTTTCTTTTTCTGGGTAATGTAACAGCTTAAACACAATTCCGCTATGCGATATTTTCTTTTTCTTTTTTTATGTTACTTACAAATTTGTCAATTTCAATTTTTCAGATACTGCAGCCCAAGGAGAGAGAATCAAAGAGAGCTAGACCATGTTACATGATGTCCCAAGCTGATTTTTTTGCTCTATTTCTGCCCCTTTTTTCTTTCAATTTCTTCTTCTTCTTCTTTTTTTTTTTTTTATGTTTATGATCTTTTGGATGTCGTTTCTGCTTAGGGAGCTTTAGAAGAATTATGGTTGAAAATATCCATGTCAAAGAAGGAGTGAATCCTTCATTTTGTGAGCTTTCTTGTATTAAGTATAGCCATGTAATACATGTGATGGTTTCAATCTAATATCAGTGTGTCTTTGAGAGGGTTTCTAGAATTATTGCTCCAAGGTGTTCCTAAATGAGGCTATTTAATTAGCGGAATATTATCTTAATTCTAAATAGCTTTGATAATATATATACACTAGCATAACTTTCAGAAAGATTCTCTCTCTGGAATTGTAATAACTTCTATGACATAATAATTGCTTTTTCTTTAACCAAAAATAATAATAATTATAATAATTGCTTTTTGTGGGTGTGGTCCGAGGAATGTTTAACTGCGCGCACTTTCTGCAGATATAACTGCAAATCACGATTAGGCATTGCTTTAAAGGAATCAAAGATGAATTTATTGACCGCAATGGAAGCTTTTGGCTAATCCTATGCAAGAGGATTGATAAACATACAAAATTCAAAGAATGTATATCTATAAATACTTTTAATAATTCGGAGGGACAATATTTACCACAAAATTTGTGGGTTTTTCTTTATTTACGGAAAAGATATTTTAAATTTATCGAACAAAATATTTGTAGGAACAATGTATAATTAATATCTTTCATCTAAGCATTGTCTCCAAAAACGATCCATTATGCGATTACAATCAGATGCAGAGCTGCACTACAAAGTCCCATACTATGCCACCACAAGCAAGTTTTTTCTCCTTTTCTTTTTTTTCTTTTTTTTCTTGTAAAGTATATTAAAGTGGCGTTGTGTGTTTTGGGGGGGGGGGGGGGAATCACAAGCAACCAAAAACCACTATTGGGAAAAAAAAACTTTCAATTAGAATTAGACTACAATTCTTGTGTTTGGGATATTAACTCCCTTCAACTTACTCTATGATTGGCAGTTATTGAGAGTTAAATTCATCATTCATCATACACAGACTACACAGTGGAAGCATCATCATCACGTCATCATATAAGCATATATAAAGATAATAATCATACACATCCACACACAACACAATTATTTACGTTGTTCACCCAACTCTAGGGATATGTTCATAGAGAAAGAGATTTCACTATTATGTATCAAGGAAGAGAATATATAATTAGATGTTAAAACATTCTCACTCTCACTCATCACACTCTTGAGTCTACATCTTTACACTTAAAAATTACATATAATCTCCCCCCTCCTCACAACAGTCACCTTTGTCCCCTTTTCTCTCTCTTTAGCCAAACACATCTTTATTTATAAGTACTCTTCAAACTCAATTCCTTGCATGTTGGACAAGAATTTCACCACTTGCCGACCATGGAGTTACCATATTTATCACAACTCTAAAATAGCAATCTAATATGCCACAACTTCCTTTCCCAAATCTTCAGCTTTACACCTCAAGTCTTTGGGCTTCCAAAAAGGATAGGAAACTGTTTCTGCTTGTATCGACAAATTAAGTACGATTGCTCTAAAATAGTACGACCTGTCACACTTCTCAGAACTCCCAGCTGAGAAGTGTGACCAGTCCGTAATAGTCGGACCAATTTGACTTCTTTAAAACAACAATCTTCGAGAATTTGAGCCACAAACTCAACATCCTGAACATTAGAAATGGAAGTTTACACCATGTTAAAGAGATTAATCTTTCCAACGACTACCATAGGAGGACTCATATGGTTTTCGAATAACCTTTTGTTCCTCTCTTTCCAAATGACATACGCAGAAGCAACTAATATTACTAGTTTATTAACCCTCAACTGGTAGTCTTTCTAGCATTACTATAGTGTTAAAAGCCTACCTAAAGAGGGAAAGTCAATCAGGACGGTTGATTTGAAAGCCACATAGAGTCTGAATATTGTTCCAAATATAACTAAAAAATGAGCAAGAGAAGAAAAAATGAGACAAGCACTTGCAATTTTCTAAGACAAAGCTATAATGCAACAATTAGGCAAGTGAAGGAAACTAGTTGCAAGCCTATCGAGAATATGTAACTCATATTTGGCAGGCAGCCAAAGAATGAAACATATATTGTTTTAGAATTCCTTATTTTAAGCACACTAGATTGTGCCAATGAACAATAGGGAAAGAAAGGGCAAACTTTTTTAAGGTATGATTGAAGGAGAAATTGGGGGAAGTGGAAGGAAACCAAGTTACTCTATCATCTCCCCCAAAGGGATGTATAACCAGTTAGGGTAAACCGGCAAGGGCAGGATACTAAACCAATATCTTAAGTGCAATGCAATATAAATATATGTTTTTATATATTTAATATGGTATCAGAGCCTATCGATGATTATTGGTAGTCTTCTAAGTGTATTATCATCACCGCCAGAGATGGCTCCATCAACCACACCCTCGGTGGCCATTAATCTTCAATCTTTAAACTCACGCTTCCGCACTCGGCACCAATTTCATTCGCGCAATCAACGTGTTGGATTAGCTCTGTCACGTACCATGCATTACTATGTGCCTCAAGTGGTAATCACACTCTTTCATGCATGCGCAATAGTTGTAATCCCACACCTCAATGTGTCAGATCAGTTCTATCACCGCGCTACCATGTGCCTTAAGTGGTAATCCTACTCTTTCATGAACTTCCACACACAATAGCGGTAATCCCGTGACTCAACGTGTTGGATCGGCTATGTCACTGCGCCACCACGCGTCATCAGTGGTCATCATGCGCTCACACTCGCCTCAATATACATGTCGGATCTTCACAACTCTGTCACCACGCCACCAAAGCACCATCAACGTGGCGAATTTCACAAATTTGTCACACATGCGCCTCCGCGCCTCAATGTAACTAAAGTGGTCTTTCACACTCCACCACCTCTTTTATAACCACATCTCCAAACTCAAGCTAGTTTTATGTAACTCACTTTGAGTTTGAGGGGATTGTTAGATTACAAGTTTTCCCCTTTACGTACTACTTAGGTTTCTTACATGCACATTACATATTACGGTATATGATTACACCTACCAAATGACTATTTATAGATTATTTGTTCACCACACACCTACTTATAACCTTCTTTTATATAGAGGACATTATTGTACTTTTCATGATATGCAATGCTTTACATGCAATAAATGTTTTTATATATTTAACAGCTAGAATTATCAATAATCACTTGGACAATTAATCCACAGAGTGCCGGAATGAAGCCAATAGTCATACCAAATAATAGTTGTTAATTTTGTGGGTAGATAGGATTATGGGAGGGAGGAGAGGATTCGAGGTTTTTGAAAATGTAATTTGATACATTAAAAATGGGTATATATTCAATAAGGAAATTTTTTAAGGTATTTTAGAGGAATTAGAAATTGTTTAAAGACAGGAGACTATTCTCATATTTTTCTAAACGTACTGTTGGCTCACTACAATATTTACACTGTGCTTTGCCTAGGAGGATGACACCTTTGCTTTTGTTCCTTCGTCTAAACATTTCTGTAAATTAAAGTTTGGGTCACATGCATGGTACATGAAGTGACATTTTTATACTCCAATCATGCAAATTCTACAATTTTGAGTTCTTTTTAGACTTTTGGGTCGTTTTGAAAAGGACATGTTTGGCCCCCATGCTTCTACATTTCTTTCATTTATTATTGAATTTATGGGCAAGTTATCTTACAAACCACTCCAATTTTTTGTGGGGGACACTGATAGAAATGGATCATATATATATATATATATACACACTATTTATTCTTACTTTATATTTTTTTCTCTAAGCATGGAACACAATACAATGCGATGAGGATTGCTTCAGTGTTCCATGAGGATAGCATCGAGTGGATAGCTTTCTTAGGAAAATGTTGTTTCAATATTTACATGATGAAATCATAATTAATAACAGTCTTGAAAATGCATTGCAGTTTTGCATTTTCTAAAAACTCCTATTTACAGTTTATGGCGCTCTCTGCAGCTCTCTCTCTCTCTCTCTCTCACACACACACACTCACACTCACAAGAGTCTGGAAAATGCACGGCAATGTATTGTTTCATTGTTCCATATGAATAGGTCATATAACCACTTTGTTAATTGATAATCAAATTGAGATTTTATATGATTAATATTGGTTACATACACATGGATAACTTCACCTAGGGCTTCTGAAATGTTCCAGTCATGACAATGAAAGCAACAACTATATATATAATTATCCGAAAAAACAACTATATATATATATATATATATATATATATATATATAGTGACATTTTCATTATATCAAATGCTTGTGGCAATCCATATACATTCTGTAAATGAGGTAGTTGGTTGTTCATCAATATTTCATGTGGGCATTACTTCTACATAAATATGAAACACAGCATCATATATAATAATAAATACAGGTGTCCTTTTCCCTATTCTCTGATATAATATGAAAAATAAATAAATAAAAATAACTTCACTAATATCTATTGCTTCAGAGCACGAAAATGATTGGGAAAATTTAAAATAAAAAAAGGTAAAAAATAAAAATAAAATTTTAATCATTGAGTTCTAAAAAAAAGTAATTTTGTACACCAGTACAAAAGATAAAGACATATGTTACCACCATGTCCATGCCAAATTAATGCATTTAATCTTGTAGTAAGATATAGTAGTTCTTTTTCTTTTTGCTCATCTTTCTTAAATCATGGAGGGGACCATCTTTGATTAATTTGAGCAACTTCCAATGAAGAAGAGATCTTTATCATCATATTTAACACATAGTTCACATAGGATTCCTAAGCTTTTCAGCTAACATCTTTTTTGGGCTCTCCTCATTGACCTCATGGGCTATCTTAAGAGTAGATAATTGGTCAAAAAGTGACTACACATTCATTAGTGTCTCCTACTACACTCCATTATTTAGCTTTTAGCAAGATTCTTGTCTCCCTTTAAGCTAGCTTAATTTATGTTACTTCATGTGGTTTGTTAGTGTTAATCAAAGTACTTCCCATATTATCATGTCAAATTATTATTGGTGAAGGCTGCCCGAAACAGTTGCTTAATGTTAAGTTGGATAAGAATGATGAGAAGGTAGTGCATTACCGAGCAACCTAGTTGGTAGAGTGATTAGCTCTTCG